AAGAGCTAAAAGTTTGAAGGAAAGCGTAAAAATAATAATGTGCTAGTGCAGTCATGCCAGACACATCACACATGGGAATCTGTTGAGGACAACGTTAAAGCATAATGGCTTAGCTTTAAGCTAAGGACACGAAACGATTTTTAGAGATAGGAATTTCTAAGATATTAAAAGTTATTTGGATCTATAAATTTAGTCACATAGCATAAAATTAGTCAGAATAACAACCGCACTTTTATAGCAAACGATGACATCTGCGTTGGCGAATATGTTAATATCCACGCGTCTAATAAATAACAGGGAGTAATTAGCAGTAGTATAGGGTAAAAATAGACTTTTAAGTCGAAACGTTTGTTCGAAAAACAAAATCAAATGTGTGGTTATTTCGTAAAAAAAACTTTTCCTATGCATTTTACTTACATATACACAATATGTAATGCATCCCAATCATATGATCGATTATACAGAAGCATTCCGTAAAAACGGACGTAGACTGCATGCTTCATGGCTCACAAAAACATTCCGCACACACAAAAGCACAAAGGTTCGAATGACTAACAAAACATTCCGCAAACACAAAAGCACAAAGGTTTGGATGACTCACAAAAACATTCCGTTACAAAGGTTACATGCAGCTACATAAAATCCGTCAGTGTTGTAAGCAATTTTAACAAGAGCGCAGCATGGAGAACAGCGAATACGAAACTATCGTGAACTACCTCACTAGAGGGGAGTATCCTGCGGGCATATCTAAAGAACAAAAAAGAGCAATTAGACGTAAAGTCGCAGAAAGAAGTGCAAACACTACCAAAAGTAACAAATTTGTTGCGAAAGACGGGGTACTGTATTACGTTGACATGAGACCCGATGGACTTGGGCTACGCGAAAGGAGAGTAGTACGGATGGAGGAAAAAATGGGAATACTTCGAGATTGTCACGAAGCTGAGATTGGTGGGGGACACTTCAAGCGCGATAAGACGTATGGAAAAATCTCGGAGAGATTTTATTGGCACGGCTTGATGAGTGATGTGAAACAGTATGTATCAACCTGTGATGTCTGTCAGCGCGTAGATGGTAAACTTGGGAAACAGCATGCCGAGCTGCATCCAATACCTGTGTCAGATGTGTGGAAACAAGTAAGTATTCTGGTAAATCTTAGTATGCTGGTAAACCTTAGTATTTTAGTATACCTTAGTATTACTATTTATAACTTAATATTTTTGCCACAGGTGGGTATAGATTTGATTGGGCCACTCAAGACAAGCAAACAGGGAAACAGCTAGATAGCCACCATGACTGATTACTTTTCTAAATGGCCAGAAGCACAAGCCATTCCCAACAAGAGTGCGAAGTGTGTTTCAGACTTCTTGTTTAAGATGATACTGCGATACGGGTGTATGGACATCGTAATCAGTGATCAGGGGAGGGAATTTGTAAACCAGGTACTGAAGATTGTTTTGTATAACATGTCATGTCAGAATAAGCTGTAGTTTTTTACAGAACCTTTTTATTATTTTATTATTACAGGTAAACAACGAGCTCTTCGCTCGTACTGGTGTTGATCACCGCATTACCAGTGCGTATCACCCCCAAACAAATGGATTGACTGAAAGGTTCAACCAGACTTTGGAAAAGTAAGCATTTAGTAATCAGTACAATCACATCTAATTTTACAAAGTTTGTCTAAGAATTTGAAATATAATAGTAAAATGTGTATTTTTTGTGCGCAGTGCCATAGTGAAAATAATCAACGAAGATCAAGATAACTGGGAAGACAACCTAGACAGCATTCTGTTTTGTTATCGGTCATCTAAAAACGACTCCACAAAGTTTAGCCCATTTTTTCTGATGTATGGTCGTGAACCAAAATTGCCAATGGAATTAGCAGTGAAAGGAAGTCCTCGTTGTGACGACCAAGATTCTACACAAGTCTCATTGGACACCAAGGTCGAACAGCTCCTAAAATTGAAGAAATCGGTGCACGACTTGGCGATGGAAAACATACGAAAGGCGCAAGATCGGCAAAAACGAAACTACGACAAAAAACACGACTCAACGAAGGTATGCACGTATATGTAATTAGGAAAAAGATATACTACAGGACCAAGTTTGTCTTGGAGTCATGTTTTTCTATATATTGTGTAGATTGGCTTAGCTCAAAATACTCGTTTTAATATTTATATTGTATTGTTATGCCTCGTTTTTCCATAGCTTCTCAAAGTGGGCGATTTGGTGCTTGTCAAAAACATGCGTAATCTGGATAGAAAAGGGGGGAAAATGGATACCCGCTGGCTTGGCCCTTACATGATAACGGCACACGTTGGAAAAGGAAGATATAAACTGTTGAACCAAGAATCTGGGAAACACCTAGCAAAGATGATCAACAGTTCCCGCCTTAAGAAGTATATTCAAAGGAACCCTGACGAAAAATCGACTGAAACGCAAAGAAAGGAGAAAATAATCATTCCAGATGCGCCTAAAGAAGGTAAATATTCACGATAAATTATTTCGTTTAAAGGATTTCAGTGTTAAAAATGAGTCAACTTCATGCAATTTTTGTGCCTTAGGCTATTACGAGGTACAGATTACTAACAGTTTATTAGTAACAGTATGCTAAAAAGCTGTTGGTAATCGTGATAATTTCGGGCACCGTAAAACCGCATGAAGCAATTTGAGTAATCAGTCTTCTTTTCTATCAGATACCAGAGCTGATCAGAACGACGAGTGGATCAAGGCTCTTGGTCTAAAGAAAAGTGATCGAACTGATATACTCCAAAAAAGAATGCTGAACGACAGAATAGTAAACGGAGCTCAAAAGCTGATCAAGAAAAAGTTTGCACTGGTCGGTGGCCTCCAGGATCCTCTGCTTTCACAGTTATCGTTCGATCGGTGTACAAGTGAAGGAGTTCAAATTCACAACACTGGGAAAATCCACTGGATAACATCATCATCTATTGGAGGGCAGCCAGTAAGTGTCTACGATAGCCTATACGATGACTTAACCGAATCAAGCGAGAAACAATTAGCGCAATGCTATCACAATTGCATCGACCAGGCAGGCCAGCTGCACATTGAAATGGCTTCATTCCAGAAGCAGAAAGGATCCACCGATTGTGGTCTATTTGCTATTGCAAGTGCATATGAACTAGCAAGTGGAAATATCCATTTTAATTACGAAGGATTGTTCGACCAGTCAGCAATGAGAAAACATCTGGTCGATTGCCTGGAAAAGGAAGACATCTCGTCGTTCCCTCGTGCTCGAAAAACGACTGCAGTAGTCAACAACAACGAAAAACTGTTAATAATACAAACACATTGTGCTTGTCAATTGCCAGAGTATGGCGACATGGTGCAGTGTGATCTTTGTAACATGTGGTACCATCTAACATGTACCAATTTAAGCCAAACTCCTGATGAAGATGAGGAATGGTTTTGCGAGTCATGCGCGCCGCTTTGCTAATGAACTTGGATAACTATAAGAACTTATATATAAACTTATATATAAACTAAGAACTTATAAGAACTTATGAACTTATTAACTTTTAAGAACTTATACTGTATATAAACTCATGTGCGGCTTTATTAAGTAAACTTTGATATTTTTTATAAGAACTTATAAACTCGTGTGCGCCGCTTTATTAACTAGTAGTAGTAGTAGTAGTGAACTTTATTTAACTGATCTTTGATATATAATATGTAAGAAATAATAAACTTAACTTATTTATCACAATATTTATTAATCATGATCATGTGAACTCGGTCTCGTTGTCTATAATTACTCCGCCTGCGCATGCGCAGTGCGGAGTCTAAAAATGCCTGAGTCTGTTGTCGGTTGTCGACTGTCGTCAGTGTCACAAACAGGCTCCTTGATAAATGTGTACATTCCATGATATTTAGATACTTTCTATTGACATTTGTGGATAATGTTATACGATTTGGCAGCGCAATGCGCATGCTCACAGCTCTGCTTACAGTATTTTTCTAAACTGCGAACTGTGAAACGGTCTTGTGCGCTGAAAAATACTAAAAAGATGAATGTCGAGACAAAGCTTCCAGACTCAACTGAGGTAAGGGATACTAAACATTCTTATTTTGGTAGTACATGCTGCATTTTGACAACAAGAAATTCTTTAAAGTCATAAATATAAATAAAAATATTAACTCCTACTGTATGTCGTATTAAATGTCGATCTTATATTCTTGACTAGCAAAATATATTCTTGTGTGAAAGGTCCCTACAATGTTCTGAAGAGTTTAGGCTATGTAGTGTTGAGGCTATCGGGTTATTAAATATATTTCAATGTTTTGAAGAGTTTAGGAAATGTAGTATTGAAGCTGTCGTGTTTATAATTTACTATACACGTTTAGTACGCAACTACCGGAAACGGCAGCCATGTGGTAGTATTTATAAGACAAAGAATCTCATTATTTTTTACTGAATTTCGCACATTCTTTTAATTCTCAAGGGATTGGTTGCAAGACAAGAATATAATCTATGATATATAGTCATGTTAACAAATAACAGAAACGTCAGCTTCTTGAACTCACAGCCAGCTTGGGTTTGCTTGCTTTGCTCTTTCTACTGCCCTTGTGTGTTATGTATCAATCAATTCGAAACTTCACCACCCCCCCCCCCCCGGGCCGACCCCGGGAATTTGAACTTTTTGAAATTTGACTGATCAAATTCTCCACCCCCTGTGCAAAAAATGTCTTCAAATGCCCCACTGTAACAAGAAATTAAGCGTTCAAATGCCCCACCTTCATATGAAAATTATGAAACAGTGAATACAAAAAGTACAAAATATACGGAAATGTTTTTCGACAGGATAGCGAAATCCACGTAAAAAGTTTGGATACCTTCTGCAAATTTAACAGTTTTACACAATTATGTAGTACATACCTTCAAATGAAGCACGTAGATTTTCCATGCCCGTTTCTTTGAGCCAGTTTTTCACAAAATTGAGGCTGTTTCCCTCGAAATCTGAGAAAACTGTATTTGCCGCCAATGCGAAGTATTTTCTGTTCATGCAGGAAGCACGCTAAAACGGGCAAAATGTTAAGACTTCCGGTTCAAATTCCCCACCCCGTTATCAAATGCCCCACCACATGGAAGACCTAGAACGTCAAATTACCTACTTCCTAGAGAAGACTTGAAGTCAAATTCCCGGGGTATGCCTGGGGGGGGGGATGGTGCAGTTTCGAATTGATTGATACATTAATAGATACTATGTGTTGTGTAATGTATTTAATTCAACCCTACTAGGACTCTGGGCAGAATACCTACCAAGCCACTCAAACATGCTTTTGGGACCTCTATTATTACAGTGATGGGCCAAACAGAATTGGTGTGTCAGAATTAATATCCTATTTCTGTCTCTTATAGGTTATGGCACTTTCTTATGAAAATTCAATGTAAAGTTTGGACATTAGGACGTCAGTTTCAGGCTCCTTGCATGCCATCACAGCCAGTTTAGACATCAGCTTCAGCCCCCTACGCACGTGTTAATTAAGACGTGTAGTGGCGTCAGCATTAGCCAAACGTCGCCACTTCGGCTTATATTTGACTTCACTTTTCCGTCGCACCCTACATTGTCCCCATTTTCTCCGCAGGCCGGCAGGCGGAGTGAACGCCTGAGTAGGCGTCTTGTTAATATTCAAATATTAGGGTTCAGCGATTGAAACTAAGGTTTTTATTGGGTAATCGCCTCATCATACAGAATCCGAGTGCACAAATTTCCATAAACTTGGACAAAAACATAGAACAATGACTTTTGTCAAGCTTCCAAACCATGTTTACTTTCTATTAACTATGATTTAACGTTGCGTGTAGAGTGACAACGACGTTGAGAATACCCCTGGGACCACGAATTATTCACAGTTTTTGTCTTGCATGACAAATTTCTTTGTTTCGAAAGCCCGTCGTCAAGCTGGGCGCGTCGTAGGTCGTAAACTCCATAATACATCACTAACTGTTACGTGTTGCTATATATAATAAGTTACTTAATAACTCTACATAATTCTATAATTTAAAATTGTACTCAAAATTCATTTATTTAATTTTATTGGAACCTTTCGCATTTTGATTGCCCTGCCAATCGGGATGATTCGCATTTTGGGGGTGCCCCCCATACCTCCCCTCAAGTTTCGCCCCTGTCTACACGGCTTCAAACACAGTAGAACTCCAGTTTGAGATATCCAAAACAGCATATAATTAACTCTGAAACTCTAATTCGATTACGCACTTCAATATAGAAAGCCTATAACCTATAGATTATGAATATAGAATTTATAGAGTGGGCCATTGGATTCATGCCCCAATTCTACACGGCTGGAAACGCAGTAGAACGCCAGCCTGAGATTCAAAACTGCATGCAATTATAACTCGGGAATTATTATGCGATTAATCACTTTAAAAAACTTGCGATTTTCATGGACAGAAACAGTCGCAATATACTTGAATAACAATTGAATGATTTATTCATTGTTAGTGGGATACAAAGCCAATTACCTATAGACTAGAAGTTACTATCGCAAGGAAAATGCTGCCTCACCCCTAAGGGATGGCACCATGCACAATTTGCTGAATAAGGGTCTGTTTATATGATCCCGCTTCGCCAGGACGAGATATGAGGCAGGATGATTTCGATGTATTGAAATGAGTCACAGTGCACAATTCAGCAAAAAACATTACTTTTCTAGAGATAGATTATAGTTACTGTAAACGAAAGGTTGTTCAAGCAGCAATTATAATCTTGTTGAACTACAAGATCTTGTCTACAATATTTGAGTTCTGTTAACAAGCATTTGAACTTTTGTTTAGCCTAGTGACTTATTCCAATACATCAAAAATCATCCCAACTTCCATCATGTAAACAGGAAAAGTGGAAAGATCAGCTAAATGTATATGAATACATTCAATGCTTATAACTTCTTGCTTTTGTATGTATAATTATAACACTGTCAGCCTGTGAAGCTGACATAGCAACAGGTCACGCTATGGAAGCTTTTAATATAATGATTTGCATTATTCAAATAGATACAGGTTTATTGGCATGGCATGACCAGTTGCCATGGTAGCTAGCTTGCCACTGAATACTGTACAAAATCATTACTCGCTGGGGCACCTGTGCCCGGGCGAGTATAGGTTTCGGCATGCATTTTTGGTGGATGTCAGATTTCCAATGTCAGATCGTCGTTGATAGCCACAAAATAGAATATTAATGAGCTGCCAATTTTCCCCCCAAATATCCATAAGGCACCTGCCAATTTTTACCCAAATTATCCATAAATAACCCTAAGTTTTAAGGAAAATTACAGAATTTTACTAGAAAAGCCAAAGTTTACATGGAAACAGCGACCTTCGCTGCTTCGCAGTTTTTAACATATGGTTTTTAATCATTTTACAACGCTTTGAGTCAATTTGAGAAGAAATATTTACGGTAAAGAGATCTTTACAACGATGTTTACGGTAAGTAAATGTGATTTATTTTTAAATACGCTCACCTCGCATGACTCTGCACCTATTCGTGGTAGACCTACACTAAAAGATGCTGAGCGATTTCGAACCGGGTCGATGATCCACGAATCGAAAAATACCTTCGGGTACGAAAAAACTTGCCAAAAATACTGCCAAGAATTGCCAAAACTTGCCAACAAATGCCAAAAATACACAAAAGGTTGCCAAAAATATTATACAAAAAGTGAACAAATATGTGACAAAAGTACTACTGAAATGACAAATATTAATACACAGACAAATTTACAACAAAGTGAACAAACAAACGTAAACTCAAAGTCAAGCTGCTGTACTGTCAACGAGCACATGGTCAACAATTTGTCGATAATGTTGAGCAAAGATGACGTGGAAAACAAGAATGTGTCCATAGATCAATGTATATCAAGTATAAATATATCTAACTGTATTTCTAAATTTGACCAGAATAAAATAGCAAGTCCATCAAAGCCCAAGGGCAAGACTAGGCGTATAAGGAAACTCTCAGTGCGATCACGATATGCGTTATTTTATAATGTCTGCACACAAAAGCTTGTTAACAACGTTACTGCCACTGGTTGCCATGTACGCCACCGTGACCGTGAACCCAGTAGAATACAAGTGAAATGGTTAACTAGGAAGTTTGGAAAAAGTCGGTTGCTGAGAAAATGTCTGAGACATAAGATCAAACGATCTGTACCCAGATCCTCTCATCTTCATTATATACTAGATAATATTAAGCATTGTCAAGACATTAGGTTGAAGTGTATTCCAGATGTTTACTGCCCAAAGAAGGTTGAAAAGAAATGCCGGACAAAACTTTCAGCAAAAGATGCCAAATGTTATATTTGTGAAGGTATTCTTGCAGATATATTCTATTTATCAGGTTCAACTAGTGATTTATATACACAACAGATGTACAAAAATATTAACCACTTAAAAAATGTCTGTCAGTTAGCATTATGTGCAGATATTGAAACAAATCCTGGACCCGTATTCTATATTGACCCCAGCAAGACAATCAGTGCACCATATAGCCAAGGTAATCAGATTATATTTGGAGAAACAGCAGGACAACAGTGTTTAGCAATGTGTTTATGTACTCTTATATACAACAAAAGACAGAACATATGCACACCACAAGACCTGGTTCATATAATGAATATTGGTAATGAACTATATTCAAACTTGTCATGTTTAGCAAGACAATCGTTTTTATTGTTTACTGAATTGCCTTCACAACTTTCAGTATTTGACTCAGATTATATTTTTGAGTACAGTGAGAGCTATAGTGGTAATGTAATTGGAGACTGTTTTATTGAAGGGTATCAGTACTGTGTTCCATTTCACAGATCGTTTGAATTGCTCATGGTCGAAAACTATTGTGCATTCATCTTAACAATTGACTCCAATGCTGTTTGCATATTTTCCACCACTGATGGCAAATATAAAATTTTTGATTCTCATTCAAGAGATATTTATGGCAGAAGTCATCCACAAGGTACATGTGTGTTGTTAGAGGCGCCAACTATTGACAATGTAATTCTGTATTTCCAGTCTTTATACAGTGAAAATAGTCAATTTGAGCTAAGAGGAATTAATATTGAAGAAGTACAAGCCAATGTTGACCAGAACTTAGACAACAATATTACAAATTCTGACCCATCAGTTAGTACCACACAAGAATCTAAAAGTACTGATGGAATTAATATTGAAGAAGTACAAGCCAATGTTGACCAGAACTTAGGCAACAATATTACAAATTCTGACCCATCAGTTAATACCACACCAGAATCTAAAAGTACTGACATTTCTTGTTTGTGTAGACAATGCTGTGCGATTTCATTGTATTCAATTTGTTATTCTGTTATTAAGCCATGTACTTACTGGGATTCAAATACAGTATCCGCAGTTGTTTACTTTGGCATTACTTTGTATAACAACACTGGGATACATATGTCTAGTGATATACCTCGAAAGGTTGAAATATGTGCAACTGAAATGCATGTAAAATTGCAAGCTAATATTCAAGGAGTAGTTAATGACAAGACAGAAAGCAAACTAAATATTGAAAGCCTCATTTGTCATACTGAAAACGTCACAGGTTTTTTAATTTGGCTTGGAGATTATTGCATGTCTTGCATCTTTCAAAAAACATCAATTAAGAATATGTCGTACTCAATATTAGCATATGATGATGATGATAGCTCACCTACGTCTACTGTACATTTTGTTAAAAACATAAAAGACAAGCACACTTTAGTTGATGCCATCTTTAACCTAGCAAACACCAAAATCAAGGATGAAATTTTCAATTATGAAATTCAATTCTTGTCTTGTTCTTCTGAATTGACTAACTGTGAAAGAAAAAGGATTATGAAAAATCACAGACAAAACTATATTAATGAAATCACTGCACCAGCTCTAAAGAAACAGAAGCTAGAAACAAAGCAGATGAAATACAAAACGATAGATCCATTAGTAAAACAACATGTTAACTCTAAACGCGTAAATGATTACAAAATTATGGCTAAGGAGAAAAAACAAAAAGTATTGGAAAATAGAAGAACAATATATGAAGAGTTAGATAAATCAAAGAAAGACGAAGTACTGACTAAAAATATGAATTATAAAAAAGCAATGAATAAGGAACAAAAGCAAAAAATACTCGAGAATAAAAGATCTAAATACGAAACTTTAGATCAGCCAAATAAAGAGGAAATACTGACTAAAAATATGAATTATAGAAAAACAATGACTAAGGAACAAAAGCAAAAAATACTCGAGAATAAAAGAGTTAAATACGAAACTTTAGATCAGTCAAAGAAAGAGGAAGTACTGACTAAAAATATGAATTATAAAAAAACAATGAGTGAAGAACAAAAGCAAAAAATACTCGAGAATAAAAGAGTTAAATACGAAACTTTAGATCAATCAAAGAAAGAGGAAGTGCTGACTAAAAATATGAGTTATAAGAAAACAATGGTAGAAGAACAAAAACAGAAACTATTAGAAAACAAAAGAGCAAAGTATCAAGTAATGGATATATCAAAGAAAAAGGAGTTGATTGCTATAAGTTCGCGCAAAATAATGTCAAATCGCATGTTGTTCGATCCAGAAGAAAAAAATGATTTGCTCTATAGAGAGAAAGAAAAAAGGATGGAAAAGAAAGCTCAAATTCATGACATTGACCTGTACATTGATAAGTTTAAAAAACAAATTAAAGCAGGTCCATTTTACATATGCTGTGTGTGTAACCGAACATTGTACAAAAAGTCGGTAATTACCCTACAGAAAAATAAATATCCTCGCCAGGATTGTTTTATGCTTCAATGTTCTTTTGACGGCAAAGAGTACGTCTGCAAAACGTGCCATGCTAAACTACTTAAAGGTCAACAGCCTTGTCAAGCTGCGGTAAATAATTTATTTGTTGATGAAACTTCCACTGCACTTGCTGCATTAGAGAAACTTGAACAAATTCTTATTGCACAAAGAATAGTCTTTGAAAAAATTGTAGTAATGCCAAAAGGACAACAAAGAAAAATTAAAGGTGCAATATGTAATGTACCAGTTGAATGTAGTCAAACATGCAATGTTCTTCCCAGACCACCTGACAGATCTGGGATAATTTTACTTAAATTAAAAAGGAAACTTCAATTTAGAGGTCATGTTTACTTTCAAGCAGTTCGCCCTCAGTTTGTAATTAGTGCATTAAACTGGCTTGTAGCAAACAACCCTTTATATAGAAACATTGAAATTCAATGTGACAATATTAGCTCAGACTTAACTAATTTGAACTGTCCTGATACTGATCAAGAAAATATAGGTGAGCCATTGCAATTACAAAGTAATGTAAATAGAGAACTGTGTAATGAAGATGTTGAAGAACAAGATGATCCATTAAATGAACACCGTTCAGCTGCAAGCGAAACCTGTCTTCAGTCAATCTTGCCAAATTATCCTGTTAACCTGGACAATACAAACTGTAATTCAACAGGTAGAGAAGTTTTCAACATTGCACCAGGTGAAGGTAAACACCCAGTATCATTGATGACTGATAAGCTTTGTGAGGAACTTTCATTTCCAGTACTCTTTCCGAAGGGACGATTTAGTTACACCTGTGAACGAGACACAAAATTATCTCCAATAAAATATTTCAATGCTCGCCTCTTGCATTATAGTGGAAAATTTGCAACCAATCCAGAGTATCTATTCTTTGCACAATTCATTATAGAACAGAAAAAGATTTCTGATAGTATTAATATAGCTCTTAAAAAAGTACATGGCCAGTCAGTCACAGCATCACAAGTAAAATCAAACAGTCAAGCTTTTCAAAATCTTCTTTTGCAAGATCAAGCATATTTGTTTTTACGACAAATTCCTGGCTCACCTCCTTACTGGCAAAAGTTCATGTTCAATGATTAAACAGCTGGGAATACCAACATGGTTCATGACCTTATCATGTGCAGATTTAAGATGGCCTGAGCTATTTCAGATAATTGCAAGAACAAAAGGCAACAATATAACAAATGAAGCAGTAGAGGCTCTGTCGTATCATGAGCGATGCTCAATGTTAAATTTAAATCCAGTTATGGTAGCTAAACATTTCCAGTATCGAGTCGAAACATTTTTCAGGGACGTTTTGCTCTCAAATGCAAACCCAATTGGTAAGATAGTGTATTATGCACTCCGTATCGAATTTCAAATGAGAGGTTCACCACATTTGCACGCCTTAATATGGACATCTGATTGCCCAGAATTAACGAACGATACAAAAGATGCATACATAGATTACATTGACCAACATGTACAAGCATACCTCCCAGACAAAGAAACAGATCCTCAACTTTATGACTTGGTAAAAACATACCAGACACATAATCACAGTAAAACCTGTAGAAAATATAAGAATGTTACATGTAGATTTAACTTTGGACAGTTTTTTACTGACAGAACAATTGTTGCTGAACCATTGGGTGAAGATATGGATGATGAGATTAAATCTAATATTCTAACCAGACGAAAGGAAATTTTGTCTAAAGTTAAACAAAAAATTAACGATGTGCTAAACCCAAGCAAACCTACTTATGACCCGCTTGCAATTCCAATTGACATTCTAAATGAAATAGATATTACAGAACAAGACTATCAATGGGCTTTATCAATATCTCCAGATTCTGACCATGAATTGCACCTGAAACGACCAATAGACAGTTGTTTTATCAACAATTACTTTATTGTTGGGTTAAAAGGCTTTGCTGCAAATGTTGACTTGCAACCAGTGTTTAATCATTACAAGTGTATCACATACGTTTGTTCTTACTTCACAAAGGATGAAACTGAATGTTCTCAAGCCATAATAAATGCAGCAAAAGAGGCTAAAGAAGCTAACTTGAGTGTAAGAGATGGCCTGAGAAAAATAGGTGCAGCTTTTCTATCGACTCGTGAAGTCAGTGCTCAAGAATGCGTGTATAGATGTATGCCTGAACTCTGGTTAAGAAAAATATTCCCGAAAACTCTCTTTGTTAGCACGGATTTTGCTGAAAATCGCGTTAGATTTGCGAAGAAACAGCAAGAACTTGATGAGTTAGATGATGATAGTACTGACATTTTTAAGTCTAACATTATTGTCCGTTACAGTGACAGACCGAAAAATATTCCTGTCGTTAATGATATGTGTTTAGCTTTATTTGCTGCTCACTATTTCAAAGATTACAAAAGTGATTTTAACGAAGTATCTGATTCTCAACCTGAAGTGTTAAGCGATGACTTCATTGAATCTCAAAATATCGAAAATCATAACACTGGACTTCCCGATCGAATAAAACTTGTAAACAGTAAAGAGATTATGAAGTGCAGAAAAATTAAAGCTGTCATTCGATATCACACTCCAAACAAAAGAAAAGAGCCTGAAAAATATTTTCACCACCTTCTCATGTTGTATTTTCCGTGGCGTAACGAGCAGGAACTCTTTGGCGAAGACCAGACATACATATCTAAGTTTTATGAGCCAGATGTTCAAGAAGTAGTACAACGCAACAAAGAAATATTTGAACCAGATGGTGATGCAATTAATGAAGCACTAGAAAGTTTACGAAACTTTGATGGCGTACCAACTCACTCCTATGATCCAATAAATGACCAGGAAAATGAAGATTTGCGACAAAGTTTGCCTGACGATTCTGATGAAACCGAGTCCTTTAACGAATCGTTGCCACAACATCTTGCATCAAATCCTGAATCAGTTCAACCATCTTCTGGAATAAGTTCTTATAATCAACCCTTAGAAATCAGTGACGACGATCTACGAAAAACTGTAAGATCATTAAACAACAAACAACGTTATGCATATGACGTAGTTCTTTCCTGGTGTAGAAATAAGATGGCCAACCTAAACACACTTAAACCATCTAAAGTAGATCCAATAAATGTTTTTGTTACTGGAGGTGGAGGTGCAGGGAAATCACACTTAATTAAAGCTATATATCATACTGTTACAAAAACATTTAGACATGCTCCAATGAATCCTGAATTACCTTCTGTATTGCTAATGGCTCCAACTGGTGTAGCTGCCATAAATATCAACGGAACAACCGTAAACACTGCTCTAGCAATTCCAAGAGAATGTGGGAATAATGTACCTGCCATGTCTGACCAGAGGAGAACTCAAATGAGATTGTCTTTGGCTGAGTTGAAACTAATCATAATTGATGAAATATCAGTGGTCTCAAACATGGGTCTGCTGCATATTCACCAGAGATTGAAAGAAATATTTGTTACACCTAATAGTGAACTTTTTGCAGGAATCAGTGTACTTGTTTTCGGAGATTTCTTTCAGCTACCACCAATTCGAAGCGCAACAACATTTTCAAATTATAAGAATGATACATTCAATCTATACCATCCATGGCATGTCTTTAAAATGGCAGAACTAACACAGATCATGAGACAAAAAGATGACCTCGCCTTCACTCAACTATTAAATAGAGTGCGCACCGCTTCACATACAGACGATGACATCAGGTGTATTCAATCCAGAACAATAACTCCAGGGGATGAAAATTATCCATCGGATGCATTACATATTTTTGCAGAAAATGCACCAGTAGATGAGTACAATATTGATCGCCTACAACAAATCCAATCACCGCAGTACGTTTTAGAAGCTTTAGATCAATTCCCACCTCATGTTAGAAAACAGGATATCGAAAGAGTGTTGTCTAAAGGAAGATCCGAAACTGGAGGGCTTGACACTAAAATCCTGATCAAAGAAAATGCGAGAATTATGCTCACAACCAATGTGGATATTAG